CTATTTTGTCAAATGCCTTCTGCAGTTCCTAGCTCCTAGATCTCAATCTCAGTAGGCTGCTACTACAATTTGCATGAGTTGAACGTAATTTGAATATGGCATTAAAAAAACCCAACAATACTTTGCTGATCGAGTAGGATGAATCCTCACTTTGGGGAGCCATTTGTAAAATGTACTCCCAACTGCTTAGGGCAAGGTTGTGGTTTTTGTGGCAAAAAAGGGGTGCAGTTTGAGATCTCACCTGGCAGCATCTTAGCTAGAGTGAAGAGGGTGGAGTCATTGGCTACAAAGCAAGATGAGAACAACAGTGCTGCATCCTTTCCATGAAGATCAGCTAGTTCTTTCTCCAAATCAACATGAAATTTACTTGTTCCCGAAATATTTCTTGTGCCTCCTGCTCCAGCACCATGTTGTTTCAGTGTATCCCTACAGAGGGCCCAAAGAGAGGCATTAGCTTTACTGTGTGGCACACAGATGAATAAAGTGTCACTGCTGAAAACATTCAGTACATGATCAGTATAGTTCTAACAAGAACAGGCTGCAAAAAGCAGCTGTTAGGTTTAAGGTCTTTGAGCAACCTGCACAACTCAGGAATCTGATAAGCTAAGAAATCAGTTACCAAGTACAGCTGCAACATGCCATCCAGTTTATCTGGTAACATCTGGGGGCTTCTAAGGTAAATCCAAGGAGCAGGGTCAGTGACTGACAGGTACACTGCAGCCCTGGAGCTAAATACTAAAGTACCTACCCCAGCTCAAGAGCAGAGCGTAAGCTTAATTATACCAGGAATAACACCAGAAGCAGCTTACGTAGCACAGTATAGAAATCAATTCTTCAAAAGCTTCTGCAGGGCACTATAGCTTGAAGCTGCCTCTTAAAAACATTGCACTACTCACATAACTGCTCCACACACACGAGGGTGACGACTCATCCCCAGGTAATCATTGCTGCACCAGACAGACACCTCTTTCTTGGTGATTAGAGAATCAGTATAGTCATCGGCCATGGGAAAGATTTGTGCCTTTCGGTTCACTGTTTTGAATACTCGGTAGGTGTGATCCTTCTTCTTTTCATCTATCTTTTTCTCAAAGAACTGATCATACTGGAAGGTGGATACAGCTGAAATGAGATGGAGACTCAGGCACACAGGAAATAATCACAAGAGACCAGGTCTGTGGCAGTTTTGCCAGGCAATCTTACATTTTGGCAAGTTATCCTGAAGCAGATGAGACACGCTTTCTGGTCTTTGCTTCAGCACAATATCATTAAACTTCTTGAGCAAGCCACTCCACTCTTCTCTCTCAGTCTCAATGTTTCTCACTGTGGAAGTAGTTGGTATTTTGGCAAATTCTGTACCTACAGACATGGTAATAAGTTCCAGTAAGCTTAATCAGTTTGAAACAAAATGAAGTAAGTTGAGTTCAGCAAAGCAAACGTGAAGTAACTCTAACTCTTCATTCTTTGGGAAGCATGTGCAGAAGCATGTTCCCCTGTTGGGATCAACTATTTTGTTTGCTTAAAATTTTGCATTGTATGAGACAAAAGGCAAACCTTGCTATTCAATGACAATACAACATGTAATTTCCTTACAACACATTTGGCACATCATGACTCAGAGAACCACTCTATACAGCTACAGCATTTATCAGAGAGAGTTGGTACACACCTAACCAAAGACAAGAGTTCAAGTTAACGCTTCCTTTTCATTCCTAGAACTTTGTTCAGTTAGTACAGAATTTTAAGACTATGCCACAGAAAACAAACTGAAAAGTAAAATAAGCTTCCTGAGACAGACAGCAAGGCTTTACTTATATTGGTGGGAGTTCCTTCCTTTGAAGGACAGCTCTTCCACACCAGGATTGCAAGCCAGTCAATACCCTTTAGTTCCATAAAACAAACAAACAAAAAGAAGTATTTGCTTGCTTTCCAGCTTGGATTTGTGCTGATACTTGCATAGTACCTCAATCCAGTTTCTTCCATCTCTGGATATACCACTTTTGTCTATACTAGCACCCTGGTAAAGCTCTCTTCAGTCCTAAGCATCCACGTTGGGTGCAAGCGTAACAGCTCGATTCACAGATTTAGAGCCAGTGGATCAAAATACAGCATATGGTATACCTGCACCAAAATCACCGAGGGGAAACACTGCACAATATTGCAGGTATGCACACCTACATTCTCCAACAGCTTTTTATTGCAGTCTCCCATAATCCTACCCGCATAATTTACGTGGTGACTGTTAGGCTTGGCACACTCTAGAGGAAAGTCAGGCACCAGAAGCTCTTGGAAGGAACCAACGCTTCAGCGGACAGAATACATACCTTTCCTCTCCACCTGCATTTCCTGCACATCTTCTTGGAGTTCTAGGCTGGCTTTGCAGAAAACATTACTGTTCTTGTGATTCATCTGAGCTGCCAGGAACGGGCACTTGGTAGCAGAGCTCTGGCTAGCACCAGCAGGGGGGTGGCCAGCAGGTGGCTGGGATCCATCTGTATTCTGTTGGGCCACCTCTTTGGCATTTTTGGCCTCTGAGGTGGGGGTCAGAGAAAGGAAAGTGCTTCAGCATCATTTTAATACAGTGACTTAAGCTGTTCTATGCATTACCTTGGCAATTCATTTGGCACAAGCCATTCAGAACTATTTAACTCAGCAGTCACATTTTATTTCTACAAGCACAAAATCACAGTAACACCCAAGGGGCATCTGATTTAAGACACTAGATGCAGCACTGTACCCTTTGAGGGGGGGAACCCCCAAACACCACTCTCTCTCACCGCCAAAGGGGAGATTTTTTTTTGAGGAGTTGGGGTATTTTCAGCCGCCAGTCCTCCCTCTGCTGCAAGCCTCCGCTCCTTCCCCTGAGTGCCAGAGTAAGAATCCCCCAAGGAATGTTACCAGGTGGGGCGAGGAGCCGCTCAGGCGTGACAAATCCCAGCTCTGCCATCCAGGATCACGGATCTCCGACCAGAGCTCACTGCAGGACATCCTAACAGGCCGGTCTCCGATTTGTGCCCGTGCTTAATTACCACAGACATTTAAAGAATTAAGCAACCCTTATCCCCAAGCTGCCCATGCCAGAAGTTTCCTTGCACCACAGACGGTGTCTGTATGCAGTTTTATTTCTTAAGGGCGACTGGGTCCGTCCCTGGGAAAGCTCCCCGCTACACCTACCGTGCTGCGGCCCAGCGCCCCGCTGCCCACCCTGGGAGCGACCCGGG